CGCTGCCGAGTCCAGGCTGGTGAACAGCTGGCTGGCTCTGTGCTGGACATCGCCCGCCTGGCCGGGGAAAACCGGGGCTGTGAAGGGTTCCTTAGACACACTGTGGGAAGTCAACTCTTCCGTGCTTTTCTTTTTAGTGAAAGGGGCTCTCAGAAACACATCTGCTTCTTCTGGATGTCTAAGAGCCACGTTGCCCTTGGAGATAAAGGGAGCTTTGGTAAAGACATCCACCTCATCAGGCACTTTTCTCGAGCTCCGGAAAGGAGCCGTGGCAAAAACATCTGGCTCGTTAAAAACCTCCCCAGTGTGCGACTGGAAGGCCGGGAACAGCATCTCCCCCGCTCTAGTCTGGGAAGATTGGGAGTGGGGATTTTCTTTGGAGGCCTCACGTCTTTCGCTGGGCACAGACTGCACGAATCCCGTGCACAACTTGTGGGTTTCCTCCTCCTCTTCTGAATCCATCAGTAACGGCCTGGATCCGCTGCAATCCAAAACGTCTCCTTCGTGGTCCGTCCCCTCTCCTTCGCTGCTGTAGAAGGAGCTGTTGCTTGAAGGACCATCTCTCATTAACAAGTCTGACCCTGAGTTGTGCTGCATTTTCACCTCCAGCACCTCAGCCTGACCCTTGTACAATCCAAGTCCATCACTGCCAGCAGGTCCTTTATGGAGTTCAAGATCTACAACTGGGAACAGAGCTGGGTCTCTCTGCGCACCTAAAAATGCAAGAGAAGAGTGTTACTCAAGCTCCATCTGCTTAGTCATAACTGAGAATTAAAGGTATTTATTACACAAGGAACGTCATGCTGTTCAGATTTAAGTCACCATCACGCATGGAAAAGGGGAAGGAGAGGGAGGGCAAATAAAAGGAAATAAAATGCCAGGGAAGGCGTTTATGACACAAACTGACACACAACTTGGCGTCGCCTTACAGCTCAGGGACACAGGTACCAGTTTTCAGAAGGAGATGGAAGATGTTTAACACATGAACAGGCACACCCAGCACTCTCTCAGCACCTTTCCTCAAGGTTCCCTTTGCCACCCACGACGATGACCGCTATCAGAGAGGTTTCCCCTCCGTAACACCGCTGCCTGGAGTGAAGCTCCAGCAAACAGACAACTCCAGTCATCCCATCCTGTGCTGTTTCATTGGCTGCAGACACCCAGCTTAGCATACACTCTGTTTCTGTGAGACATTCCACGGATACCTGGAATTACACTCAGGGGTGTAAGATCCACAGGGACACCCTACAACCTGCTCTAACACCATACAGGTTTCAAATGATGAAGGGTCAGCCCACGGCTTTTACCAAACCCTGGTAACTACAGCAGCATTGTTTTAAAGTACTGCAAGACAAATTATTTTAAATGCTCCAGACTATGACTTCAAGTCAAGTCTCTAAGGTAACTATTCCCATCTGGCTTCCTTCTTGTTAGTGTAAGATGAGAGCACGGGGAGAGCCTTGCTGCTCTGCTCTCCACCTGCAAGAGCCCGAGGTGGGGCTGGTTTTGCCTTACGACTCACACAGACAGAACAGAAGATGTCTTACCTTCAGAGAACTACTGGCAGGTTAGGAGCATGTCATTGGACTCACGTTAGCAAGAGGATAGGAGAAAGGCACGTGAAAACTAAGCAGTATGAATTGCAGGAATAATGAGGAGGGTGAGGAGGTTGCCCAGGATCCATTAACCGATGGACAAGCGAGGTACAAACCAACCCCCCCACTGTGACAACAGCATCCAAACTCTGCCCAGGTTACCCGGCCACATTTGCACACCCATCCCAGCTCACGAGGCACCACTTCTTGGCCAAGTCCATAGGTGTTCATACTGAACCTCTTCCCAGTCACTTCTCACCAGTAAAGACACAGCAGCCATTCAGTAGGCATCAAAATCAGTATTTATTGGGAAACTATTCACGTCGATACATTTTGCTGCTAAAGACAGTGCAGATATGCAAACATTTTATAAGTTAGTCTACAAAAATACTCTCTGCCTTTCCTAAAGCCTGTATGGCCAGCAATGGTGTAATCTCAGCTGCTCACCTCGGGTGACAGAACAGCACATCTGCCCTGGGGTCTGCTCCCAGGAGCCTGGTCATACACCCACCAGGCACTGCTGTGAGGTTTTGAGAGCACGGGCTGGAGCAGAGCAAGAGGGGCTGCTGGGTCACACAAGTGCCTCTGACTGACCCAGTCCTTGTCAAAATATCACATTTGGGGAAGAAGGAAAGAAAAAAGGCATTTATTGAACACCATGCCAATGCAGACCAACGACCTGCTTTGCAAAAGAACAACACAAACAAGTCATTTGATCAGAATTTTCATTTTAAAGAGTTACTTGTGTTAGCAGGTGTCTGTGTTTTGTAAGCGTTGACTCTGAGGACAGAGTGAAGAGGAGAGCTGACAGGACATCAGCTTGTTTGCTTAGGCCAGGAGCAGCACGTGCTTCTGAGCCCAGAGGAGCTGGATGACAGCAGAGCACTATTTTCAGGGGAGGAGGAAAGAAAAAAAAAAAAAGCCTTTTCCTAATGCTTTCCTGGACTCTCTCCCCACTCTGAGAAGGGCACTGAATGCTTAGCAGCAGTTCTGCCCATTGCTAAGGCCTCAGGCAGAGCCAGCTCCAGCCTTCAGTTAAGGAGCTGTTTTCAGTCCAGGCTGCTGGGCAGTACAGCAAGAAAGGAAGGGCCCTGAGAATTCAAAAACAACAAAAGTGGGCACAGCAATAATAAAACAGTGTGTTATCTGAGAAATTGGGTCATTTACTGACAAGAGAGGAGAGGAGCACCATCCCCACTCCCATGTCCTGTTTTCCTGATGTTGAAGGAGGAAGACCTGGCTTCCAGACATCACCTCACAGTAACTGATCTCAGGCACCTTTTCTTTCCCAAAGTCTCACGTTGCCTCAGTTTCCTTTGACAGAAAGCAAAAGGACAGTCCCAGAAGAAGCTGTGCTGGCAGCCTCACTGCGACAAGGAAGAGAACACTTTAGGTACTGCCTAGTGGCTTTGACATCTCTCACAGTTGTCAACCTCATATGTTAAAAGAGGTCTGAGCTATGTTAGAGCTAACCAGACAAGGTCAGTGCACCCCCATAAGGAGCCACAGCTGCAGGCTTTGCAGACAAACACTTCAGAGTAACTTTGAGGACGACAGAGAACTCCAGTCAGCCAACACCAAAGGATCTTCTGAGGACATGCCCAGCGAGACCCCAGTGCTGTGGGGCCCGTCTCACAGGGGAAGGCACTGCAGCTTTGTTCTGGGTCGCAGCCGAGAGAAAGGTTCACTCCACGAGCTGGTAATAACACGAGGGTAAGAACAAATCTCATGACACTAAGCCAGGGCTCTTTGTTTGAAGCCTTGCCCCTTCCCTGTGATGACTCGGCTGCCCCTCACACCAAGGGCACATTGTGCAAGAGGCCTGGAAAGACACAGGCAGATGGTTTGCCTCCACCAACACCCACAGCCCCTTGTGCAAAGAGAGGTGCCTCTTCTGCAGAGGCAGCATTTCCCAGCATCTACCTCTGCCAAGACAGCGACCATCAAGAGAGAGCTGCCTCCTTTGTCCTGTCCTCCAGGCTCCCAAGATCTCACAGGGAAGCATCCCTTATGTTTCCAATTAATGCTCAGGTTTAACATGTGCATGCTCCTAACAGCTGCAAGCTTTGCAGCAGAGAAGCTTTAGAGAAGCCTGAGTTTATAAAATAAATTTTCTCTCTGCTCCTGTACATTCTTTTTATTCCAGGGTCAGATACACACACTAAAGGAACAATTCCTAAACTATACCTGGGCTTCCTTTCTGAGGGGAGAACCTTAGTAATAAAAACACTTATCACTTGGCACCCCAGGAACACACCCTGCCTGGACTCAGATGGCAACCTGAAGAAAAGACCATTTACCCCCAAGCCACAGCACTGAGACATGGAGTTCCCCCATTTTTTAAGGAAAACAGCACAAACTACCAAAATCACTGACAGGGAAGCTATAGGAGACTTACTGTCCCTGTTACAGGGGCTGTAAAGAGGCAGAACAGTCACCAAGGTGATGGTCTCATTGTCAGAGCAGAGCCAAAGACATTGGGGAGACAGAGACATTCCCAGAGTCTAAAGCTGCCCTTCTCTGAGCCAAACTCATCAACTTCATCCCAACTTCATCAAGCCCAGGTCTGGACAGTCTCAACATCCAGCAACGGGCAGCCAAAATTCAGCACACTTACAGGTGTGCAAAATTTAACATATAAAAGGGGTCAAAAGACTTCTCACTCCTCTGTCCTTGAAATGGTGGTTTCTTTTGTGTCTCAATTCCTAGAAGTATCATTATTCAACAATACAGAGCCACCCTCTGTGGTGCTTCCACGGGGGAGGCCACAGCAGGACACCCGAGGTCAGCATCACCACTGGACAGAAGTTCAGCCAGCAGAAGCATTTCTGCCCAAAGTCCCTGCCCAGTGGCAGATGTGGGTTCTTCAGTTCCAGAAGATAAGGACTTCAACACCTGAGCGTGGGCACCCTGGGACAGTCATCTGCAGCATGAAGAGCGAGTCAGGGCCAGTGCTGAACTCACCAGCCTCAGCCCACCACAGCCCAGCAGTGTGGGAGCTGGAGACCCCCAGCACAGCCAGGCTGCCCCTCGCTCCCAGCCACCTGCTGTGCCTGCCAGCCCTGCTTGAGGTGCAGTCTTCAGACAGTGGAGAAAAACCTAAAGCCAGTTTCTAGGTGTCAAACTCCCTCCTGTGTAGGGCAGGAGCTCGAGTCCCTCTCGTCAGTAATGTCCCTAGAACAGCCCAGAACTCCACCAACCCTTCCTCCCCAGGAAGGATGAGATCCAACACTCTGCGTGGTCCACCTCCCAGGCATGGGCACAGCCATCCCCACAGCTTCCCAGTTATGGAAACAGTACACAGGAGCCAGAAGATCCACCTGGAGGAAACCTCCCCTGTTCCCTGCAGGAGTGACCCCGTTCTAACACACGGTGCCCACACACCTCAGCAAGGTGACAGGACTTGTCTCACCCAGTAACTGGGCTGACTGATACCCCACTCCCCAGAGCACCCCCTCACAGCACACTCACGCCTCCCCCACAGCCACACCAGCTATTCCAGCTCTGATGGATCCACACCAGAGTTCCTGACCTAGACAATGTGTTGGCTGAAATAAAAAAACCCCTTACTCCATGCAGACATGCCTGTTTTGGATGCTAGTGCTGCACGTTGTGTCTTCAACAGACATTCTCTTTAGTCAGAGGCCCACATGCTCCACACTTCATAGTTGCTTGGATATCCCAAAAGCTGCTGAACTCTGCTCTGCATCACATGTGAACTTTCACTGTAATAATAAAATAATTTTTACTCCATCTTTACATGACGAGTTCTGGGAAAGCCACTGAAGGCAACGTCCCGTTGGCTTCCAGGCTGAGGAATGCCAACATGATTCACTCACAAGAAGCCCCCTCTGAAAAGAATTCTGCTCAGGATTCATTCAAGCTGCCATTCCCTTGTGGTAAATGGGCTGTTTGAGGATGCAAAGTCTGCCACAAAGCCACCACTGCCAAGATTCCTCCACCCATCTCAGACTTCCCCACCAGGCTGCACAGCAACTGCAGCCCTGGTGAAGTCCCGGGGAGCCCTGTGAATCAGATGTGGACATCCAGCACTCACGAAGCTGCAGCACCTCCTGGTTTTGGGACAAATGCTCCCAACACAGTGGACATTGTCAGAAAAACCTGAATTGTGGGTGCAACACTAGTGCTCATCGAGTTAAAAAGGGAACTGGGGAGATTTATGGAGGCAGAGGCAGTTTGAAACCCAAGCCCCTCAGTGAGGGCCAACATCGAAGTTCCAACTGTTCCTCTGCACATCGTGCTGCCCCCAACCCAGAGTTCATTCTTGCATCCCAAACAATCTTGCCTTGAAAGGATGTTGCCCCATGGACTGTGATTGCATTCGTGGTATCCTATTAGGAGGATCCATCAAAATAGTTGATGCCAGGAACACCACTACAAGCTCCAGCCTGCCGGGGCAGAAAGGCTCCTCTGCCACCCCAACATGAAGCAACAGCAGACACCAGACAGGGGAATGGCCCTGCTGGGGTTTTGGTGACTGTTTCTTAACACCACCTGCCCCTACTGCCCTTAAAAGGGGACAGAAACATCTCCAGTGTCTTCCAACAAGGCTCCAGCCATTCTGACACGTCTGCAGGACACTGGGTACCAAACACCTCCCACCTGCACACGGATGCGAGCCCAGCTCGTGCCTCCACACACACCCCTCAGTGTTTGAGCAGCACTAACATACCACCTGTGACAAAACACTCTTTGTAAGAGTTTAGGATTAAATCCAAATGCCCACACATTTAATCTCTTGCATTTTCCATTCATTCTGCAAACAAGTGGCAAGTATTTTCTGATGAACACTGTCTAGATAAGACGTCTCTGGAAATGTCTGCTCCCACTGTATCCTCTCTCCCACCCACATCCAAGAATAGCTACTTGAAAAAGCAATAAAATAAACATTCACATCTGCTTATTTAATAGCATTATTAACAACCCAGTGCATTTATAATTTTTTCCAGAACCCTTCAACAAGTGCCATTAGATTTAAAATCTTAAACATTCTTTAAAAGTACTTTAATTCACAGAAATCTTTGTTTCTAATATACAGTAGATGGTTACTTTTTAAAATCCATTCTCTTTTCATATAATCTCAGTATCTGACTATACAATAACTTTCTATCTATAGCGTCTTCGTGTTTTCCAGTCCAGCTTGCCTGTGCTTTAGGAATATAAAACAGAAAAATAATAAAATTCTATCCACAATTTGACTAAGGTCATTTCCATAGTTCTCCTGTAAAGCTTCTCCTGGAAAGTGCAGTATACACATGTAATGATACAACACACTTCAGCAATACTTTTATTATTAAGTGTAGGTTTTAAAAGAAGAGTAACGTAGAGCAGACAGTCGATGGCAGTTCTATGTACAGAATTTGTTCAACTAAGTGCTGGGGTGGGGGACAGCAGAGGCTGGAGGCAGGGAAGGAGCAGCCCCAGGGCTGGGCGTCTCCTTCCAGCGGGAGCTGGGCACAGACAGGGCTCAGTCGCTCGCACTCCCGCACGGGGGGACTGCACTGCTACTAACACAGCTAACACACCTACACAAGGTCAGCAGAAGCTAGTAATTATTCCACTACAGAGGAAGAGTCCTTCTGTTCAGAAAGAGCTTTCAAATACAAGATAGAAATTCTGGACTTCATGACCAATGAGAACAAGTTCAGCATATCCAGCTAGGTGACAAACTAAGCGTGAGAAGGGAAAAAGAACAGGTGAAACCCATGGAGTTGTAGCAGCACTGACTGCAAACCACCCGAACCAAGGGCATGCTTGTTCCACAGCAACTGCAGAGTGGATAGAGTCCACAGGAATCTTTGTCCACAGAAACAAACGGTTCCATACTGATCTGGTTTGCACTATATGCAGTTACAAGAGAAGACAGGGAGCCCAGAACAGGTATCAGATACTTGACTAAAACCAGGATTAAAAAAAAATAAAAATAAATCAACAAACAACCTTAGGACAATTTGTTTCATACACAATTTACAGTAGGTCAAGGGCATTTTTTTTTTTTTTCTCCCAAACACAGAAAAGAAGTCACAGAAAATACATCTGCTGCTGCCACAATGCCCTTTTCATCCAAAAAAGGTCAACAAAATGCTAGTCACAGCCATACTTATGTATTTGGTTCAAAACCTTGTTATATTTCACTTAGGGTCATTTTTGAAGCTTTAACAACCAGGAATTTTTTTTCTTCCTCTCCCCAAGGAAGTGCAGTTCATTCACAAGCAGGATTTTAAACAGCAAACCATGAGCTGAGGGCAGCTGGAGAAAACTCTTCACACACACCACCACCAGAGGTACTAGGCAAGGCTGCTTCAGAGGAATGCAGTGGTTTCTCCTCCTCTGAAGCACACATTGGCCATTTAGAAACATCAGCTCTCCCACACAGGATTCTGCAGGAGAGGAGTGTCCCTACCAACCTCCCCTGTCCCCTTCCACCTGCCCAGTCATCAGAAAACAGGAACAAAACAAAAACCAAACCCAACACCACAAATGCAGAGATTGGAACAGTTGTTCACACACTGCACTAAGGAGGGAGGAGCCTGTGGTGTGCAGGGGTCACGTCAGCTACAATGATCTACTTCATCTACATTGGCTCTCCAGGCTGCTCTGGGGGCATGTCAGCAGAGCAGCTAAGGACAGTGCTCCCTTCAGACAGAGAGCATCACAGACAGGTGCAGAGGAACCACAACAGGTTTGTACCAGCTTTAGAAAGGACTACCTGGAGAGCAGACAGAATCTTTCCCAGGGCATGGGAGGACAGGGAGAAAGGTGGGTGACTAGCTCCTGTTGGCAGATTTGTTTTTCTTTTGATTAAGGAAAGAAATTAAAAAAGCCCCAAAGAACCACAATCAAAGGTAACTCTTCTGGAAATGAAAATGAAGGATTAGGTACGTTACAGAAACTGCGTCTGCTACTGTGTCACTGCTACAGGTCTATGAGCTGATCCACCAGCAGTAAAGACCTGGCTATGTTGGGAAGACTGGACTCAGAGCTTCCACTGTTGTTTCTAGAATGCCCACCTGAAAGTGTGAGAGATAGGAATTCAGTATTGAACAGGACACACACACACACAACAGTTTCAGATGTTCAAGAGCAAGCAAGAAAAAAAGTCAAAGCAAAACAGAAAATTTGTCTGAGTTCTTCTGGTTACTTGTGACACAACAGCAACAACATTCCCCTGCTGGCTCCTCCACCTCTCCCACCCCAACCCTGCTGGCTACACCTGCCTGGAGAAACACCACAGCAGCCAACACACCTCCACAAACCATTTCTCTTTCCCCTCAAGGTTTACATCCAAGCTGAATTCTGTCCTTACTGAATGGTCTCTAAAGCAATCTCAACTCTTACAACCTGCAGGAGGGACTGCTCGAAGGTTTAAACCTTGGTAACTAGTTGCTGTTCTCAGAGCATCTCTGAGTTGACAGCTACTTCAAGGAGAGCTGAGCTGTCAGGTGGCTTTCTAGAACTGGCACGTGGATACTGAAGGAGAGATGCTCCTCTTTACTCAAGGTAGCCTATCTTGGCCCAGCTTTGGTGGAAATCTGCCTTTCAGCAG